AAGGTATAAATATATGACTGGTTCAATGAGAAAGGATAAATAAATGACTGGTTCAATGAGAAGGTATCAATCAATGACTGGTTCAATGAGAAAGGATAAAACAATGACTGGTTCAATGGGAAAGGATTAAACAATGACTGGTTCAATGAGACAGGATAAATAAATGACTGGTTCAATGAAAAAGGATAAATAAATCAATGACTGGTTCAATTAGAAAGGATAAATCAATGCCTGGTTCAATGGGAAGGAATAAATATATGACTGGTTCAATTAGAAAGGATAAATCAATTACTGGTTCAATGAGAAAGGATAAATCAATGACTGGTTCAATGGGAAAGGATTAAACAATGACTGGTTCAATGAGAAAGGATAAATCAATGACTGGTTCATTGGGAAAAGTAACAATAAAAGGCTGGTGATAGTTTTTGTTCCGCGTTCCGATGCATTTTCTATGTATGAATCGAATCTTGATAATAAGAATCCAGTGTAACAAAGGGTGCACTCGTTACTTCAATGCGTAATAATGAAAGAGTTTGATTTTTTTATGTAAATTTAGCCTTAATTTATGCCAAAAAGATATTGGATTTTAATTTTTAATACCAATTAGTCCCTGCATATAATAATAATGAAAGGATGAATTTATAGAAAAGCATGTTTTAGATCAAATAATCCAAGCATAGAAAAATAAGGGGGTCCATTTATAAAAGAGCAAGGACTAGTATTTTTTTGGGTGACTACAGGGAAAATTGGAATTCTTATTTCAACATATTTATACAAAATAGACCACATCAGGTCAAAACACCCTAATATCAACATCGCCAACCACCTCTACATTGTATAGTTTGTACCTACATTTAGATACGAAAGTTTATCCTTTTTATGTTTTTAATATCTGAACGGTAAAACAAGTTACATATATTACAAAAACCCCAAGAAAATATATATTCAAATGAAGATTCAATATGCATACAGTTTTGTATTTCGACTCTAATAACATAAAACTAATGGACTCTGCATGCAAAACACGAGAGTATTCAAATGCAACTCTTTGTACAAAGAGTAATCTCCCCTTTAAGTGGTTTCGGATATAACTGTAGCGCGCCATGGTTGGGGTACATCTACTATTGCATTACATAGTTACTATGTTATAATCATGCCGGGAAAAAATATCATTTTCAAAAATATTTTGGCTGTTGCCCAGTCAGTACACTTGTTGTTCAGCAGTAAAATTTGCATAACTGTATGATTACTATTCGGCCTATCTTTTTCAGTGTTTTATATACAATATTGGTTATCATTTAAAGGCACCAGAAAACATCAGTAGGTCATCAGTAGGCCAGGTGTTACGGATGTGTAAGCGTCTTCTACTTTATCGACAACACCTGGCATGTAAATCCAGGTCAAATACAATTTGTAATGTCACGTTGACGACCATATAAAGGAAACCCGTTGGGTGATAAGCTTACCATACATTTTGTTTCTGCAAAAATTCAAGCTTATCCACTATTGTTGAAGTTGGCATTCTTCTTTTCCTCATAATGTTATGCTAATTGATAGTCATTGATCTCTGCCGTGTTTTTATACTGACATTTTCCCTTCAGCTATATTGGTATATTTTTCCTCATATTTTCATAGCCTGGAATCAATGGGGAAAACAAAAACCTCAAGTTAAAAGAACCGAATGCTACTTTTATTATGATACAGAATACCCAATTCTACTCCTCCGTAAATTGTAGAAGCTAAATGTTCATTATTAATGAATGTCGCGTAGCAGAGCACCAATATCACATGACTCTGTAGGGCTAAGCATCCAACTACAATGTGAACACGGCACGTAGACGTGTTGCGACTTTTAGATATTCTTACTTGTTAGTCTGTGATGTATATGACTTTGTTCCTGTAGTACAAACAACCTTCCCTGGTTTGTAGTCGTGTGTTGATATGGCAGTATGAGCACCACTTGTTTCATTTTGTTTACTATTACTCAAAGGTCTTTGTTAAGTTGTTATCCCCCTGCTTTGACGAAGTTTGTGGTATAAAGTGTTCGTTGTTTCCGTCCGTTCGTGCGTCCGGCCATGCTGACAGTCTTTTTCGGGAAAAGTTTAATCTCGATAAAACTGAAATTCTCTTCTTCTCGGGGTGGATAGACCCTGTGGCATGGCATCCTGTCCTATATTTCAACGAGTCGCACTTTACTGACGTTTCCAATAATCAACACTTGGGGGTTATAAAAGTAAGGCTACCTTGTTTTACCGCATACATTTTGTATACAAATGAATAACTTACATGTGTAAAAAATAGAATGAATAGAAAATTCCCTATGATATAAGCCCATTTCTTTGAATATGCAAATATTGTATTGGCGAACTGTACGCAGAATAAATGCATTGTACTAGAGTCCAACTTAAAGGCGCAGTCCAAGTCATGATATATTGTACAGAGAAACTGGGTTGTTTCATGCTGATATCGAAAAAAACACTTTCACCAAAATATTATAGTGTTTATAAATAAAAAGTTGTATAGAAATGCCCCTCTCAAGATGCACTTCAGCCATATACAGTTAATAACACTGGAAATCATCATCTCCGCTACAACAGAATATCTGAATTCGAATATCAAGAACTCGGGTATATAATAACAGTATCTTTTCAAAATTTATGTCAGAATAGAACAATCAAAATTGCTTTTCCCCCTCAATGTCATCCTTTGGAGTTAATATTTCACCTTCATTGTACTCATATATTCAAAAATCATGGTGATTGTAAAATAAAAGTTACTCTGTCATTTCAGTATTTGTGCAAGTAATTTGATATAACATCTATGTAACTCGTATGTAAAAGATAGTCCTACATGTACCTGCTTTTATGGTTCCCCTATTGTCCTCTCTATACTTACAAACGACAGCTCCATATTAGCTATCCTACTGCATCAATACCTTTTTATATGATAACCAAACACTTACTTCGATGTGGCTTTGTCATCTGAAATGTAGACTAAAATGGAGCCAGCACAGAATAGTGTTGGTGCATGGCCAATCGATATGTGCATCATGCCAGCTAATGCATAACCAACATTTGTGTTTTCTTCTTGTGTAGGTATGCAATAATGTATATCCCTTTCCTGTGCTCATCCATTTGTACGTAAATATGATGTATATACACAGTTTATTTTTTAGGGAAATGGCGTTCATAGGCTTTTTCTGAAAACAAAAAACACAAAACTTCTTAATGACATATTTGCTAAGCGGGATGGCAACATTCTACTTCATTCGTAAAAGAAGGGAGTCGGCAACATCTATTATTATTAATATTTGCATTTTGTGTTAGATCTGAAGAGTGTCCTCTCGCCATCCAAATTTTAGAGATACATACACTGACACGCAAAAGAAACGCAACCCCTTGTATGTCCTTAACTTTATAATATCATTAAACTGTTGTTAGCCTTGTTGAATAGCATACATTTCCACCACCATTTCACGGTTGATTGAACTTTGTCACTCTATGCTTTCTCATGTCCGCGGGACTTCTATACATAGCCCAATAAGCACGTACACCGATACACATGGCGCATCACATGCGCCCCAGACTTGTTAAGCATTCGTCAGGTTTTGGGTAAGAGTAGTCCGGTAAAAGAAATTCGCTTGTGATTACGTCATAATGCCTAGGCTAGTTAACGATACACGCAACAGGGCAGTGTATTTACTATTAGCTGGAAACTTCCAAAATGTTGTGGCAAGATTACTGCATGTCCAAAAAAGGACAATATGCCGTTAGAATGTTAGAATTTAAGATTTATTGAAAATCTCCGGAGACTATTTATATTTCATTTGTTCGTCCAATCCTAGAATATGCTGATGTTGTATGGGCTAACTGTTCCCAGTAGTCTGCAACGTGTTAGAGTCAATCCAACTCGAAGCAGCACGCATTATTTCTGGTTTAGGACAGGGCACGAGCAATAATATTTCATACATGGAGGCCATAATGTTTCACTTAGTAAAAGAAGACACTTATATCACTTTTCTTTTTAAATTTTTAACAGCAATTATCCATCTCATGTCTCTGACTAAATCCTACCCTTTCTAATGACATTGAAAATTACAACTTTCGACACAATAGGTTATTTGATGTTCCAGTACAACGCACGCATTTATATGGTTCTAGCTGTTTCCCAAAACTTATGTCAGAATGGAACAATCCAGTCTGTCAGTTTCCCACTATGACATGTCTTGGAGCTCTGAATAAGGAATGTTTACGTTCATCCGATGCGGATGTTCAACAATTATGTAGAAATATTTGTAAATATCACGGTAATAGAAATATTATGTCAGTTAAGTATTTCTGCAATTAATTTGAATTCATATTTATTTTATGTACATCTAAATGATAGCCCTGCACTGTCCTATTTATACTAACCATAGACATCTCTTACTTAACTCTCTATCAGCGATGAGTATGCTATTCCAGTCAACACTCAACCTTTTATTTCTAGTTTGCAATCACAGAACGTAAATATGAATAGAAATATTGTAGAGACAGTTCAGAGTTATTTTAGAGACACCAGACGTTCTGTTTAGATTTTCAAATAGTATTGTCAAATAATTATTTTACAACAATTGCGATAATTGAAATAAGTATTGTCAAATCAATATCAAAATACAAACAATCTCCCATTTTAATATTTAAAGAAACATATTTTTGTAAGGATATGGTTTATATAGGGATTGAACGGCTTTTTTCTTATTTATTTTCATGCCGGTATGAACACAAATCGGTTACATTCATAAGCGGCTTCATGTTTAATATGGAAGTAACCGATCTGCGTTCATACCGGCATGACGATTTTAAAAAACCGCCGTTCAATCCATATATCTACATTTCCACTATAGAAAATATATTTATTTACTGCGTTTTGTAAATGTGTAACGCACCAAGGTTTGGGCGTTGTGTTCCGTTTAATTACCTGACCGGGGATCCCTAAAATTATACCGGCCGCTTCCGGAAATGATCGAGAGGGCTTCTGGGATACAGCATTTTGGCTCCCGATTTCAGACAGGTAAGACGTGTTAAGTCTAGCTAAGTAATCCAATGATTAAAGAAGGCTCTGTCGCCCATCCTTCCAAAATTCGGGGTTGGGAACTTTTATTAAACATCCATACCGTTTGGAGGAGAGATGTTTGTTGGTAGCACTTAGGTAGTGGCTGAACATTCTCCGCCCTATCTATTTTGGGGCTTTTAGTGAGGGTTTCTATGAGCGGTAGGCTCCTCGAGCTCACGTGAAGGAATGTTGCAAAAATAGAAGGGTTAACGGGTAAGCTATTCAGTGGAAGTGATAGCCGTATGTTCTCGACCACGTGTCATCGTTATTTCGTGGAGAGGTTTATAATTCGTTCCAATGTATCTAGCAAGGTTTTAGAGTGCGTTCAAATTATAGGCAGGGCCATGCTACTTTTTATTTCACCGAATTTTGTTGTAAATTCGGAAAACCCACTTGCCGCCACGTGCGTTGTTAAGTTTGATAATGTAGTCGTACAATGAACGTGTAAAATCTACATCTGCCTAAGTTGTTTTTGTCACCAAGCTCTGCTTCCTCTCTATTATTTCATACTTCATTAAAATCCATGGAATCTGCAAGCGAAAGCGTCAGTCGAACCCGAGTGAGAAGGTAACGTTCGTTAAAATTGGCGCCCACGTAGGGACCCGTTCGTTACATATGCATCGTCTTTTAAACGACATTGACGTATTTAAATAAAAAAAATGGACACCAATAATTAACCGTAGTCATTTGAACGTTTAACCTAGGGGCATTCTCCATGTTTTCCGAAGCGAAGCGACAAGACTCTCATTGAGCAAGGTTAATCTATGACGTCATAAGTAAACCACATGTTACGTCACGAGAGTTTTTGCCTTCATACTCAAATGAAATGCATTTCTGCTCATAATGTTCATATAGTTGGTTGCAGCGCAAATGTGGATAAGCCTGTTCCCCGATTCCTTTTGTACATAACATCAGTACAATAAAATATTATGAAATGAAATAAAAGTGAAGAGTGTCATTAAGACATGAGTATGATGACTGAGTTTTAAGTGATGACGAGTGCCATTATGACATGATGATAACCGATTATTAATATGATAATATTGTATGATGATGATAACTGTGAAGTCATTCTATTGTGGTTAAGGTGATGTTGAAAAGGATGATGTCGTTCTCATATTGTTATTTGATGATAATGGTGATGATATCATTATTTTGTGGCTCTGAACCAGGTGCTTTTGGAAAAGTGGCAGAACATCCTTATGTAACAAATAAACCGTCTTATCAACTTTACACATCGCAGAATTCGAGCAGCACAAATGATGACGGGTTATTGAAGTCGGAAAATTTCAATCTTCAGTCTTGACTGTTGTCTTGTCAAAGTGATAATCGCTAGCACTAAATAATCCAATAGAATATATGTGTATCTTTAATTGTCTATGTTACTTAAACGGAACTTTTGAATGAAATGTTAAAAATATTACTAAAAATTGGAGATTGCGTTTCTTTTGCGTGTCAGTATATTATTATTATTTTTTGAATAAATACCTTATTTATTCATTCCATTCGGGCATTTTACTAATAAACAAGAGAAGAAAAAATATCAAGAAATATTTTTTAGATATAGGCCTTATAAAGAATAAATGCCTGGACCAGTATCTCACTTATGTTTGTGCAACATGACATATGGTTCAGACAGTATTTGTCGCAAACTAAACAGGAAATCTGGAATGGTGACACCCCCTGAAAAAATTCTGGATCCATCCCTGAGTGGTTAATTTCAAACTAATCATTAATGAAATGTGGATATATTTCTTTTTTGTTGTTGTTTATTTTACATGCCTTTTTTGACACTCTTCACATCTATCATCATCATACTCATGTCATAATGACACTCTTCACATCTATCATCATCATAGTCATGTCATAATGACACTCTTCACATCTATCATCATCATCATCATGTCATAATGACACTCTTCACATCTATCATCATCATCATCATGTCATAATGACACTCTTCAAATCTATCATCATCATACTCATGTCATAATGACACTCTTCACATCTATTATCATCATACTCATGTCATAATGACACTCTTCACATCTATCATCATCATACTCATGTCATAATGACACTTTTCACATCTATCATCATCATACTCATGTCATAATGACACTCTTCACATCTATCATCATCATACTCATGTCATAATGACACTCTTCACATCTATCATCATCATACTCATGTCATAATGACACTCTTCACATCTATCATCATCATACTCATGTCATAATGACACTCTTCACATCTATCATCATCATACTCATGTCATAATGACACTCTTCACATCTATCATCATCATACTCATGTCATAATGACACTCTTCACATCTATCATCATCATACTCATGTCATAATGACACTCTTCACATCTATCATCATCATACTCATGTCATAATGACACTCTTCACATCTATCATCATCATACTCATGTCATAATGACACTCTTCACATCTATCATCATCATACTCATGTCATAATGACACTCTTCACATCTATCATCATCATACTCATGTCATAATGACACTCTTCACATCTATCATCATCATACTCATGTCATAATGACACTCTTCACATCTATCATCATCATACTCATGTCATAATGACACTCTTCACATCTATCATCATCATACTCATGTCATAATGACACTCTTCACATCTATCATCATCATACTCATGTCATAATGACACTCTTCACATCTATCATCATCATACTCATGTCATAATGACACTCTTCACATCTATCATCATCATACTCATGTCATAATGACACTCTTCACATCTATCATCATCATACTCATGTCATAATGACACTCTTCACATCTATCATCATCATACTCATGTCATAATGACACTCTTCACATCTATCATCATCATACTCATGTCATAATGACACTCTTCACATCTATCATCATCATACTCATGTCATAATGACACTCTTCACATCTATCATCATCATACTCATGTCATAATGACACTCTTCACATCTATCATCATCATACTCATGTCATAATGACACTCTTCACATCTATCATCATCATACTCATGTCATAATGACACTCTTCACATCTATCATCATCATACTCATGTCATAATGACACTCTTCACATCTATCATCATCATACTCATGTCATAATGACACTCTTCACATCTATCATCATCATACTCATGTCATAATGACACTCTTCACATCTATCATCATCATACTCATGTCATAATGACACTCTTCACATCTATCATCATCATACTCATGTCATAATGACACTCTTCACATCTATCATCATCATACTCATGTCATAATGACACTCTTCACATCTATCATCATCATACTCATGTCATAATGACACTCTTCACATCTATCATCATCATACTCATGTCATAATGACACTCTTCACATCTATCATCATCATACTCATGTCATAATGACACTCTTCACATCTATCATCATCATACTCATGTCATAATGACACTCTTCACATCTATCATCATCATACTCATGTCATAATGACACTCTTCACATCTATCATCATCATACTCATGTCATAATGACACTCTTCACATCTATCATCATCATACTCATGTCATAATGACACTCTTCACATCTATCATCATCATACTCATGTCATAATGACACTCTTCACATCTATCATCATCATACTCATGTCATAATGACACTCTTCACATCTATCATCATCATACTCATGTCATAATGACACTCTTCACATCTATCATCATCATACTCATGTCATAATGACACTCTTCACATCTATCATCATCATACTCATGTCATAATGACACTCTTCACATCTATCATCATCATACTCATGTCATAATGACACTCTTCACATCTATCATCATCATACTCATGTCATAATGACACTCTTCACATCTATCATCATCATACTCATGTCATAATGACACTCTTCACATCTATCATCATCATACTCATGTCATAATGACACTCTTCACATCTATCATCATCATACTCATGTCATAATGACACTCTTCACATCTATCATCATCATACTCATGTCATAATGACACTCTTCACATCTATCATCATCATACTCATGTCATAATGACACTCTTCACATCTATCATCATCATACTCATGTCATAATGACACTCTTCACATCTATCATCATCATACTCATGTCATAATGACACTCTTCACATCTATCATCATCATACTCATGTCATAATGACACTCTTCACATCTATCATCATCATACTCATGTCATAATGACACTCTTCACATCTATCATCATCATACTCATGTCATAATGACACTCTTCACATCTATCATCATCATACTCATGTCATAATGACACTCTTCACATCTATCATCATCATACTCATGTCATAATGACACTCTTCACATCTATCATCATCATACTCATGTCATAATGACACTCTTCACATCTATCATCATCATACTCATGTCATAATGACACTCTTCACATCTATCATCATCATACTCATGTCATAATGACACTCTTCACATCTATCATCATCATACTCATGTCATAATGACACTCTTCACATCTATCATCATCATACTCATGTCATAATGACACTCTTCACATCTATCATCATCATACTCATGTCATAATGACACTCTTCACATCTATCATCATCATACTCATGTCATAATGACACTCTTCACATCTATCATCATCATACTCATGTCATAATGACACTCTTCACATCTATCATCATCATACTCATGTCATAATGACACTCTTCACATCTATCATCATCATACTCATGTCATAATGACACTCTTCACATCTATCATCATCATACTCATGTCATAATGACACTCTTCACATCTATCATCATCATACTCATGTCATAATGACACTCTTCACATCTATCATCATCATACTCATGTCATAATGACACTCTTCACATCTATCATCATCATACTCATGTCATAATGACACTCTTCACATCTATCATCATCATACTCATGTCATAATGACACTCTTCACATCTATCATCATCATACTCATGTCATAATGACACTCTTCACATCTATCATCATCATACTCATGTCATAATGACACTCTTCACATCTATCATCATCATACTCATGTCATAATGACACTCTTCACATCTATCATCATCATACTCATGTCATAATGACACTCTTCACATCTATCATCATCATACTCATGTCATAATGACACTCTTCACATCTATCATCATCATACTCATGTCATAATGACACTCTTCACATCTATCATCATCATACTCATGTCATAATGACACTCTTCACATCTATCATCATCATACTCATGTCATAATGACACTCTTCACATCTATCATCATCATACTCATGTCATAATGACACTCTTCACATCTATCATCATCATACTCATGTCATAATGACACTCTTCACATCTATCATCATCATACTCATGTCATAATGACACTCTTCACATCTATCATCATCATACTCATGTCATAATGACACTCTTCACATCTATCATCATCATACTCATGTCATAATGACACTCTTCACATCTATCATCATCATACTCATGTCATAATGACACTCTTCACATCTATCATCATCATACTCATGTCATAATGACACTCTTCACATCTATCATCATCATACTCATGTCATAATGACACTCTTCACATCTATCATCATCATACTCATGTCATAATGACACTCTTCACATCTATCATCATCATACTCATGTCATAATGACACTCTTCACATCTATCATCATCATACTCATGTCATAATGACACTCTTCACATCTATCATCATCATACTCATGTCATAATGACACTCTTCACATCTATCATCATCATACTCATGTCATAATGACACTCTTCACATCTATCATCATCATACTCATGTCATAATGACACTCTTCACATCTATCATCATCATACTCATGTCATAATGACACTCTTCACATCTATCATCATCATACTCATGTCATAATGACACTCTTCACATCTATCATCATCATACTCATGTCATAATGACACTCTTCACATCTATCATCATCATACTCATGTCATAATGACACTCTTCACATCTATCATCATCATACTCATGTCATAATGACACTCTTCACATCTATCATCATCATACTCATGTCATAATGACACTCTTCACATCTATCATCATCATACTCATGTCATAATGACACTCTTCACATCTATCATCATCATACTCATGTCATAATGACACTCTTCACATCTATCATCATCATACTCATGTCATAATGACACTCTTCACATCTATCATCATCATACTCATGTCATAATGACACTCTTCACATCTATCATCATCATACTCATGTCATAATGACACTCTTCACATCTATCATCATCATACTCATGTCATAATGACACTCTTCACATCTATCATCATCATACTCATGTCATAATGACACTCTTCACATCTATCATCATCATACTCATGTCAATAAACAAGACTATTAATTTGACAAGAAAACAAAACCTGAACGTTAAAGTGTACAGATAGTACGAATGAGACTAAAACGCCGATTTACAAAGTGCCTTGAACTTCCATTATGTTATTAATCTTGTGCTATAGGATACTCCAAAACATGCGCTGTTGATCCTTCATCAGAACGAGTTGAGAACGCTGCACTGAATAAACCTGCAACGCAGATAAGTACATACTTTAAAGGGGTGGCATCGCATGCAGTTGACGGTGACAAAAATCCACTTTTCTGGAACGGGTCATGCAGTCACACTAGATGGAAGGAAGGTCTGCCATTATACCAATGGTGGATGGTTGATCTGGAAAGAGAATACAGAATTGACAGCGTCAACATCACAAATCGTCTTAAATCCGGTATGTCACTTAAATGTATTTTTACTTTACATGTATACCCTTTCATTATGAATCCGGCACAGTTTAATGTAGTCGTCAATCTAGTTCTTCAATTCTCATTACTTAAATACGGTTGTGTGATCGCACAACGTTACACGATATGCGGTGTGAGCACGATGTATGCATGATGTGTGCATGATGTGCTAACGATAAACAAATGGACGCTCATTGATTGCGCACAAATGGACGAACGTTGTGCGATAGCAATCTTGGTTGGTGTAAATTGAGAAATGTCTTAACAATATATACGAGTTCGTGTATAAACATGTAAACCTGATTTTTAAATATGTTTCTATATTCTAGCTATAGTTCTATCAGTTGATCTTTCTGTAGAAATGGTGTTTCCGGTGTTTTTAAACGACCTTAATCGACAAATGTAAGATTAAACCACAGTCCCGTACACAGATCGACCTAGCCACTTCGTTTAGGTACCCGGACCGTAACTTTTCTCAACCGGGGCACTCCTCTTAGTGCGAAAATATAGGTAAGGGGAGACCAAACCGAATGCAAATAGCAAATACAAAACGTCCAGTTGTGGTTTCTTTATCGGTCAAACGGTATCACATTTCAGCTCTATGTGTCAGGCACAGGCCAGGTAAGTGTATCTGTTCTGTTACCTTGAAGCCAAATCCATTCTTGACAGTCTAGACATTTTAATACTGTATAACACGAATTGTAAAATTGTACATAATCTTAATTATTGTAATGAGAACTTGCAGTAACATATATTGTGTATATTATTGCATACGAGCTTTCCGCATGTTTGTCACTCCGTAATAATGATCAACAAATTGTACAAAATCGCACAGTTGTGCGGGGAGAAGCGCACAATGTGGCGAACGATTGTTAAATAGCACAGTTGAACGCACCATATTTGGACGATGTGCAGACGGTGTGTGAGCGATGTATGCACGATGTACCCACGCTACTGTTGCAAATGAAGTTCAAATCAATAAGGCAAACAACATAAAGTTAGCTGTGATACCTAGAAGCAAGAGAGTGTACATACAATGTATATCACTGATAAAATATAACGTTCGACGAGAACTCAATTTTACAAATATACAGTGGTATTGTTTTAAATGTCTCGTAAACTTTTGTTGATATATATGTGACATAACAATATATATATCACCGTGTGATATATACCGATTTTTCGCCGTGTGCAGCTAAAAAGATGGTCATCATTTTGTTTGATTTGTCTCACATTTGTTTGAAAACATAAAATAGCTAATTGTTTCATAAACTATTATTTTCTCATAATTTATTTTCTTTAATCAAGAGCAATGCAACCGAAAATGACATTTACATATGTTCTTTGTTATGCAGCAAAGCGACTGCGAGACTTCGACATATTTGTGTCACTTAACAGCACGTTTGAGGTCGATGATCACATGACCGATGAACGCCTGTGTATCCATGTGTCAGGTGGAATGGGTGGCGGGGAAACCAGGACTTTCACCTGTCAGACGCCAATTTTCGGACAATTCATCCAGATCTACATGGAAACGCTTGATAAAAGAAATATGAACATATGTGAAGTCACAGTTGAAGGTAAAATAACAGATATGCTAAATAAAATTGCAATATGATATCCAAATGAACATTCACTTTAGTCGAAATGATACAGAGTATGTTTTCTTTCGTGATTAATTCATTCTATAAACAAGCATTATACAGAAATCACCTTATCGACAGATAATGATGGAACAGTGTATCGTGTACGACAACCTCTTTAGGTATTTTTTTTCAAATACATTTAGTTCAGAGGTCGCCCAGGCATAAAAAGAAGCTGAGTTGAGTACAGTCAAACCTGTCTTATGAGACCGTCCGAGGGAAGTTCAAAATAAGGTCACATAAGACAGGTGGTCACTTAAGACAGGATCAAATTTTTTAAAGAAAGATATAAACTGTGTGTTTAAAATGATTGTGATACTTATTTGTGAAATATTTACGTAATAAAACAATATCACATTTATAAGCATTATAAATTAATAGTTTATTTAATAGTGTTTTTTTTTCTAAGATGAGCATGGTATTATTTGTTAAAAATGAACATATCTAAAACAATAAAACTTAGCATTTACGTTTCCCAAGTCACCGGCAAACTTCAGGGCTGGTCCGGTAACATAAATTATCCGGCTAACCGCATCCTTAAACCATTTATAACATATATGGTTTGTTAATTTCTTCATTGCCGGTAAGATGGCGTTGACGTTTTGCATACTCCTATAAGATAAGAGACTACTTGTCGGCCTTTTTTCTTTCGGATTATTTATTGGATATGATTTTGCCGACTGACCTCTTATTTCCAAAGCACCAATTCTTTGATGCAGAATCCACCCGAAATCCGGGCGGAACAAATTCGGCTTGAAAAACTCACTTTATTGGTTCATGACAACGATGTCTACTATTGGTTCATATACTATTTATCCCATATGTATGCCACAGATACAAATGTATAGTATATTACGGAATAGAACACTCAAAATGCATGTCCATGTCGTTGTATCACTTCTCTGACCTACGTTTACAACATGACTTCTTGGGTTGATACAAAATATCAGAGGGGGTTTCAAACGGAACGAAATGATACGGAGTTTGCATGTATTCCGTTTGTAGAACACGTCATGTAATCTATTTTTGTATTAACCGGGAAATCACGGCCAGTGCTGTCTGCTTCACTTCGAGCTCATTTCGAAAGAGGAAAAGCTAATTATTTATGTCTTTGACACGAAATTCTTCTCGTTTAATCATGGATTTATGGAAAGGAATATTTATTGGACCCTGTTGAACATTTAAATATATGTAAACACGCAACAATTTCATTTTACAACTTCCGGTTTCTTTTTCAATAGTCGCAGTAGACACGTTTGGTGTGAAATGTTATGGTCGTTAGTCGCGTTAGGCAGGGAGTCGTTGAATACAGGTCATTTATATAAAAAAATATAGTTTAGGTCGTGTAAGACAGGAAGTCGCTGAATACAGGTGGTCGTCGAGACAGGTTTGACTGTAGTTGCTTTTATAACATAGTTTTCAAAATCTCACTTTTAGCAAACCCATTAAGGGGTAAGGGTACATAAGAAGATGCATCTTCCTTTTGTATCATCTCAGCCATACTTTATATGGTAGATAAATACACATGTTGACGAGAAATGTTGTTGGACATTGATTGCATTGACTTTCAATTTCTTTATGATAAAGGGATGTCAATACATGTGAAGTCACAGTTGAAGGTAAAGCCGTCAGAAAGACATAATAATTGAAATGACAATATTAATGTTACAAACAAAATGTGTTTCTATTGCAATTGAAATAAAACAGTACTTTTTGTTCCACTCATGTTCAATGCATTGATAACAAACATTATCATTATATTGTTACCTATACAAATAGTGGTATTGATTATATTTATATTACAAGTTTTTGATTGATTTTGAAATCAAATATAAATCCCTTTTTAAAAGACACCTTTTACATGTACATGTATCACCAATTACCTCGTGTTAGTGGTTCTAAGGGGTCACTGATGGTAACTTTTTTATAATTGTTGCAGAAATAGATTATTATCATCAACTGTAGCCAGCTTTGTCAATTTCTGCTTTTGACAATACCACCATCGATAGTAGATCATGATTATTGTAGAAATCTGAACAATGTGATCATACTAAATCATATACTGCACTAAATGACTTACATTTCTTATCAAAACAGAGTAATTGTCTCCATGGCTTCTTAAACTGGAAGACAAATAAATCTGGTTGAGTTTTTAGTCATTTGCTATTTATTTGGGAATATATTAAAATTAAAAGGATCAAATGTGGACACACACGGAATAACATTCTGGTATCCTAAAGAGGAAAAAACTCTTTGTTCTAAGATTGAAACAAAGTTTTGGTAAACTGAATTTCTCACCTTAGAATTATTTTCTGATATGGCCTCACTATCAGAATTTTAATCAATTTCAAAACCTGTTGAATTATTTACATCCTTCAATTTCAATGTTATATTATGGAATGAAGTGAGACGTATTTTCCTTTCTTAGATCTTTTAGTTCAACTTGATTAAAATGAGGTTGCAACTGATCTCTATTGTAAGACTACAGATGCACAAAATCATCTTATTTGTTTACTCCAACCTCAGTAAACACACTACTGTTAATATTCCTTTAAATCTTGTTTCAAGTTCAAAATGATAGATTTGATCAACTAAAGCAATACCTCAATAGCTCAATGTCTTCCTACTGAGGTGATACAACATGGCATACGGAAAGCTTTTGAAAAGGGACAACGGAATTTAAATAAAAAAATTGTGATAAAGAACAATTGTGAAGAGTTAAAGCAAAGTAACAGGCGTATGAGAAACATTTTGATAAGTATACTATAAGACAAGGTGTGGAACATGTCCCCTGCTTATCAAATGTGGTGCCTTTATCTTTAAGAATGATTGGAGATTTACTGTAAAAGATGATACTAATTGTAAATAAACAAAACATAACTTATGCAATAGTTTGTTATAAATGTGGTGAACTTCACATCGGTCAAATAAGCAATGAACTCAGGACCCGGATGACACAACAAACTAAAACCGAATCTGTACGAAATTTACATGTTAATAATCATATCCATGAATGTGCGGAGATAAATACAATGATTAGCTGTATATCAATTACATTCATCCGACACTTTTCAAGGAGAAAAGAAAGAAGATAATTTTATCAAAATAGTAAAACTTGACAGGCCATAGTAACATTTTGCACAAGTCACTCCACAAAAATAATGTACATTGTGAGTACACGTTACTATTGTAAAGTGATGACATGTGATTGTGACGTCACGATGTTTTCCTTTTGAAAGGCACCTGAAGAGCTCAGTGAAGGGTGAATGCTGGTAGTTTTGAAGTCGGTCGTTCGATCGTTTTTTTCTTTCTATATTTAGTTGATTCACATGGTCATTTAATCATTTTTTAAGATATATATATATATGTATATGTGTTTATATAACAATGACTACTGAACAAGTTATAGAGGGAGGGATCACAATATCAATGATGTTTTGAGGTTACTTGTATGAAATTACTACACTAATTGGAACTTTCCACTTAATTTAGGATACGTAGCAGTATGCATTGAGGACATAACAACAGAAACGTCACTGACAACAACAAATGCTTCTGCAGTAATAACGACTCCTACGGCAACCTCAACTGCGCTATCAACAACGACCCAAACAACATCGGTATCATTAACAATTCCCATAACGACAGATGCAACGCTATGGAAAACAACGACTCCTACAAAACCAAAGACAACATCGGCAGTAGCAGCAACAACACCAACTAATACTACGACAACTGAGACAGGGGAAATAACTCGGACAACATCAACATCGGCATCAACAACGACAGAGATAACATCGGTATCATCAACGATACCAACAGCGACTTCAACAACCACGACAGCTACGACGATATGGAACAGAACATCACCATTGCCAGTACCCACAACATTGAAAACTGTAGCAACAACTACAGCAGTAACTACATCCGCATCAAAGACACTCTCAACACTGGTTTCATTGCCAGGCAACACCACCACCGTAGCGACCTCTACCTGTCCATGTGTCTGTGTCGTCTCATCAAACACTACAAACTTGACACAGGAAGCACGTTTGGAATTGGTAAAAGAGTTGAGAAAAGAACTGACAGTTGACAGGAAAGAAACCAGTATTTCCAAGAGAAAACTCATCAGTGTTGGGGACGAGAGACAATCTGCAGAAACGATCGGATTTATAGGTGTGCTGGCGCTGTGCGTTCCGGTACTACTGATTGTCTCATTCGACTTGATCAACTTATGGTCATCCGCTAAACAGAAAAAGAACAGAGTCATAACCAAATAAAAAGAATATGAATATCTACTGCAATATGAGACTGAAAACAATAATGTTTACCTCGTTTTGTACAATGAAACAAGTTAATAGTTGAAGTACTCCAACACCCGTTTATAGCACACCTCAAGCACTTGTCCGTATACAAACGTGCTGTAAAGTTAGGTTGGAATGCTTTGACAGCAGCTTTTCTATCTTAGTAATAGGTTGAAGACTTTGCGAAAAGTTTGGTTTGATTTTTGCGAAAAGTATATTCATTTTTATGCGTATACAATGTATATGGACATAACGACTATTATGCCAATAATAAAAGATCGAACGATTGTCAGCAGTAAGAGAGTGATTCTATACAATTATTTTTTGTCTTTTAAATGTACATGCCTATTTTTATGATAACAGATAATCATTTTTGCACCTTCATGAGTGTTTTGTATTTGTTTCAAATTGATGTGTCTAAAAACAAATCAAAAGTTTCCAGGAATGTTATTGGCAATTGTTTATCATTAAGTTTTCTCTAATTTTGACAATGCATTTGATTAGTAAAGCCACAGCATTTTGTAATTATCGAAAGCTCGAAAACGCTTTATTCAGCACCAAACAATATTGTGTTCTTCTCTTGTTGATCAATATATTGATCACGAGATCGAATTAGATACTTTTTTGCCACAAGGAAGATAATATCTGCCAACTGCCATTGAATTGATTGCTTTTAAGATTATTCCAAAATGCTGTTGTAGCTTATTTATTCATTTTTTGTCCTTGTATTTATAATGAATTCGAATTACTGTTTTGTTGACGTTTTTATAGTGTTAGAACCGTTTTGATAATGGCTAAATTACTGTGCATTATATAGAGCTGTTTTCTAATGTTATCTTTTTTGAACGATTGGGAGGGCTAACACGCGTTTGTTTACTGACTAGAAGAACAGCTTTAGTTATAATTTTGGGATTCAATTTGACTTGTAATTGATATTGATACTGTTGTGTTGATATACTTTTTAATCCCTGACAATAAAATGCCTGGTTTGTTTTTCCAAAATCCAATTACACTTTAGGCCTCATTAATGGCTTTTTATATCTAATTGTCTTATGTAAAAGGAGGTACGGTAGGACGCCGGACTCGTGACCGACGGGTTGCGGGTTCGAGTCACGGCACGGCACGGCACGGCACGGCACGGCACGGCACGGCACAGTGTTGTATCTTAGAGGAAGATACTTTACTCCGTCTGTTCCAGTCTACTCAGCTGTAAATTAGTACGTGGTTGAGCAGTGATAGAATTGTTGAATGCTAGCTTTTAGTGCCGAAATGGCAGCACCGGCTGTATGCTCCCCAGGGAGTTAAGAAAGATATTGGCTGGTTGCAAAGGCCCTACAAGCACGGATAATAATTTGTGAACCGCTTTGAGACGACCTTCGAACTAGGTTGTGATAAAGCGGTATATAAGAACATCGAATTATTAATTATTATGTATATGTATATATTTATTAATAGCGAACGCTCTTGTGGGGGCTTCATAGATAACACGTACACGTACGCGTACACGTAAAAGAAACCCCTGTCAAAAGACCGACCATGAAATCCCATAGACTTAGCAAGTCAATTCACTTGCGTAATTTGGGAAATCATGGTGCACAAATTCCATTGAAGGAATCCGCCATTTAGGATCCACCGGATGCAGATTAATTTCAAATGAAATAATAATAATAATAATAATAATAATAATAATACCGAAACATGCGGAGANCTCCTTTGACCCTATCAAAGTTGCCGTGTATATATTATTGATCTATAACGATTTTGAATTATGCTGTGCCGTGACACGAACCCGCAACCCTTGGGTCACGAGTCCGGCGAACTACCACTAGACTACCGTGCCTCCTAACACCTCATTTACATCCACTTGTTTCTTTTTTACAAGTGTAATCATTGCTGATTCGTAGGGTTATCAGTTTATCATTGGATGACATTGCAATTACCACGAATCAGCCGTCCAAATGCAAGGAATAACGATGATATTTTTTGAACAAATAAACCATTTTTTCATTGAAATAAATGCCTAACATGCATACAATAAGGTTTGAGAAAAGTTGTATTATGTATCTGACATGCTTTACAGTCACATCTACATGTATATACCTTGCTAGCCACTGACAATTAAGAATGTCGCCTATTTGGCAGGGGGACACTTAGTGGAAGGAGATGTTGGCAATAAACAAGACTATTGATTTAATAACAAAAAAAAGAAACATGGGCGTTAAAGTGCACAGACGATACCCATGAGACGTCTCTTACTCAGTGTACACCCGTATTGTCATGTTTTAGTTATCGCAGCAGTTGCACAGCTTATACTCGCCTGTTACCTGAAGGTTTTCCCTATAATATATCTCTATGAACCGTAACGAATGGAAAGATAGAGTTCATAAATAATATGTGTTGGTAAGTATGAGGGAATGGTCGAGATCCTTTCAGAAATCAACCATTATTTTTTATCGTGGAAACACATCTCACAAACCTTTTGTGCATGCGGGCTGCCGTGTTTTAGCTGTCAGAATTTGTTCATTTGTGATGCGACTGACACCGAACCAGAATACGTTTTTACTAGAACACATAACTGTTTCTGGTCTTGTATTGAAATGTTCAAATCAACGGTACTGCTTCTGCTGAGTTTACAATATGGCCAAGGTAAGACAAATTTTAAGTTATGTCATACTTATCATTATACCTTTACCTTTTCTTGAATACCAAACCAAAACAATCTCCGGTTTGTTTGATTCCTTCACATTGCTTACACAAGACAGTTGAACCAACTTAAATACACAAAGCTTTCAATATTACATTTCGGAATCAATGTTTGACCTTATTCTGAATAAAATGAAAATTGAAATAAAAAAATATAATTCATCTTTAAGTTAAGCTCAATAACCGCATGCTCACATTATTTCATGTCTCTAAATTTCATCATGAGTACCTAGTACATGAACCTTTCCCAATACTCAGATAATATCCTGATAGTATAATACCTGACACACTGTTTTTGTAAACACTGAATTAATAGGTTTACATAAATAGTTCTATAAAACGTCACACTTTTGAGAAATGATGGTAAATTGAAAGTGGTTGTGCTTTAGAAAATGTTGATAGTTTTAGCTAGCTTGGAATTCTACTGAAATTTAATGGTAAATTAAGTATCACACAGGGGGAAATAGAAGAACAAGGAAAGTATTATACGCCGTGTCTCATACTTGCGAGAAGAAACATTTCAGTATTAAAGCCCAACTTAACGTTTTAGATAGAAACTGTAACTGTGTCGATATCAGAACTGGCTGCATGCTCTCCATGTATTTGAGAAAGATATTGGCTGGTTGCAAAGGCTCTATAACCATGGATAATAATTTGTGAACCGCTTTGATACGACCTGCGAACTAGGTTGTGATAAAGCGGTATTTAAGAACCTAGAATTATTATTGTTATTACTATTACACGAAGAATAAAACATATGACTTTGAATTGGAATAGCGTAATATTTGACTGTTTCAATGTGGATATTAAATATATGACTGGCTTAATGTAAAGAGATAAATACATGACTGGTTCAATTGGTAGAGCTAAATACATGACTCGTTCAATAGGAAAAGTTAAACATACAACTGGTTCTATGAAAGGAGTGGTCATAAATGACTGGTTCTATGAGAAAAATGGCAATATATGACTGGCTCAATGGGAACTTGAAGGATGCATATATATGACTGAACCAATGGGAAGGTATACATATGTAACGATGGGTTCTAAATGACAACACTCCACGCCGTTGCAATTCAAGGATATGTTTATTCCGTGGACAAATAAACCTATATAATGAATAAACATACATAATCACTCATACATCGCTCAACCTATGTAATAATGGATCTATATACAATTGATGAAATAAGACGAATGATTATTATGTTTTAATTATACTCTTTCATACTTACACACATAAATACTTACCAGGAACATCCAGAGTAAGGACAATGTGACTTGCTGATGCTCTCGATGGTTCCATGTGTTCTCATCGAGAGGTAAAGTCAGAGTGAAGTAGGAAGACGGCGGTGACTAGGATTTTGACGGGTGGCCGGGCTGCACGTGCACATACATACATTCATTGCACTGGTATTACGCGCGATGATTTGAATGTAGTATTTGAACACCTGGCTACATACTCCCCCACTTTGATAAATGTCTCCTGGCATTTCTCATACAGTTATTACCTAGAATCTATACACTGATAAAGGGTTATAATTAGAGACTATTGCTCTAGAAATGTTATATGATGGTTATATGATTGACTTCATAATATTTAAGACTCATAACACCAAACAAATTGAACAAACCACAGGAATAGATAAGAACCATCTTTGCAGAAGGAACTAACTAGACTATGCTCAAATAAACAGTTACCTATCCTTGACGAAAATACTTTTACTTGTCACCGATGAAGTATAGAGTTCTGATGAGCATGTACAATATCATTATGATTATATACACTCTGAATGAGATGAAAATCCAACAATGAAATCCATATCATCACATTTGCAAGTGATAACAAGAAATCAGGAATATTAATGTAAAATGACAAACCACTACTGACGGTTTGGGAGCCCCATACCTGACAACAGAGTAGGTCTTACAAAAACAAATGGATGGAAGGATAATGAATAAAATGAAGGATAAAAAATGAGGTTGAAACACAGCATGATGTTTAAAATACAAAAAACACCCCCAGCGGAACCTTCCCAGCGATTGGGGAGTCACCTACCAGCCGGTACTTCTATTCCGGTGGGTAAAAGTAATATAATTCATTAAAACAAAACATTAAAATATATACGAATAACATTTCACAAACGGTATGTGCCCACCGGTGTAGAAGCTTGCAATGAGAAAACCGGATAGCCCCAACACTCCGGTGGCTTGGAAGGCCGAGTTGACCTCCGTAATACAGGTTAAATTTCTGTACTTGGATTGTCTATACCCTCGTCCAGTACACTGACAATTCTGCTATAGAGACGGGATCTAAATCCACTTCCTGTACGGAATC